TAATAAAAATATCCCAAATATTTTTCCATGAAATCATAGACTATATCCCGCCTCAATAATATTAATCCAAATCCTCTTCTCATAAGAAAAAAAAATTGGCTATTATTACTCTATTAGCATGTTACTGACCCACGATTTAAAAATCCCATAAGAGACCCCTGTGTTGCCATAGTTAATCAGAAGTCTGACCCTCCCTGAAGAATTCAGAGTTATTCAGCTAAATTCTTGGAGAAGAGATGAATCTGAGATGAGATGTTAAAATGAAAAAAACCATAATATTAATATCCCATTTTCTTGACTTGCCATATTCATTATCTCTGTGAGGAATACAAGATGCTTCTCCCGTTGATAAATTTAACATGGGAAAGGACAAATCTCATTTTTTTGTGGCTCTTGAGAAAGTGTTACTCATTCAGCTGTGAACTCCACCCTTCCTTATCACAGCAATAAAACATCCATTTGAGACAGAAAGAAAGTAATCTCCTATTTGAATTTTTAATTTAAGGATATTTTCTTTCTATGATTCTATTTTTTTGGTTAGTTCTCTTTTGAGTTTCTAATGAGTTCTGGCTAATTTTGCTTTAGGACTAGACATTCTTAATTCATCGTCACAACTCCTAAAGTGACTCCCTTCCTCCTTTTTTAAAAAAGTCGTATTATATTATGTGTCATATAAAACAGCATTGCCTTATTATGAAGTAATTAAATCCATGGACTCTGGGGTAGGAATGCTGGGTACAGAGCCTGACTCTGCCAATTACGAGCTACCCGATCTTGGCAAGTTCCTGAAACTCTGAGTTCCCCATGCTTAATGAAGATCATATTCAGGCTTAACCTTACAGAGTTGTGGTGAGGATTAAGTGAAAGAATCTCTGCCCTGGTTGGCACCAAATAAATTTTATCTATTAATATGATGCATTCTGCTTTCAAAGAAACCAGCACACTACCAGACTCTTTTTTGTTGTTGTTGTTTAGTTATAGTCCACATTCTATCAGACTTTTTTGACATCCTATCTAATAAAAGAGAAACATGGTAATTAGCGTACAACTGCTACCCTTCCCATTGGCTAATCAGGGCGATATGCAAATTAACTGCCAGCCAAGATGGCCGCCGGCAGCCAGGCAGCTTGAAACTAACATGAGGCTTGCTTGCTTCAGTGAAGGAGGAAACCAACGTTCCCCGCCTGCAGTTTGAAACATTTTAACAAATACCACCTACTTCAGCCAG